ATAAGTGACCAAGTTCTGTGGGTGTGTACCCCACGCCAGTGTAGTAGCCACGGTCGTCCGCACGCCACGAAGTGAAGTGTCCCAACGTCATAGGGCGGGAAGCTGGGTTTGGGTGGTCGCGAAGAGTCGTTTGGATATTTGGTAGAGCTTGAACTGCCCCCCCACGAAGTGGGGGTATTGTCTCGCGTCGCATGAAAACCCTGGCACTGGTGAGAACACTGAGCGTTCGGGTAAAATGATTGTTGTTGTTGTTGTTGTTGTTGTTGTTGATGTGTTTGTGGTTTGTTGTTTGTTGTTGTCGTCGTCCCACCCGCGACCCGCCCCGCGACCCACCCGCGACCCACCCCGCGACCCACCCGCGACCCACTCTGCGACCCACCCCGCGACCCACCCCACGACCCACCTCGCGACCCACCCCTCGACCCACCCCGCGACCCACCCCCACCCCCCCCCCCGCGACCCACCCCCGACCCACCCCGACCGCACCCCGCGACCCACCCCGCGACCCGCGACCCCCCGCGACCCACCCGCGACCCACCCGCGACCCATGCTTGACTCACCCGCGACCCGCCCGCGACCCACCCCGCGACCGGCCCGCGACCGGCCCGCGACCGGCCCGCGACCGGCCCGCGACCGGCCTGCGACTGGCCCGCGACCCACCCCGCGATCCAGCAACATTGCTTTACCGAGAAAATCGGCGCCTGTGGCGGGCTCAATGCATAATTTGAAAAACTTAGGCGCTTGCGGCGGGCCTCTTTCGAGTCTCGCAGACTGACGACGTCCTCGCCGCCCCCTCACTCTTATCCGCAACTGCCGGAGTTTACGTAATAGTAATCTTCTTTTACCCCATTAACATCATGACCATCACCATCATCATCTCTCTGCTCGTCATCAGCATCATCATCAGCAGCATCATCAGTATCATCATCATTAAAAGTATCATCATCATCCTCATCATCATCATCCTCATCCTCATCCTCACCATCACCCTCACCCTCACCACAACCACCATCACGATCACCATCATCATCACCACCGGCATCATCATTATCATCATCACCACCAAACAGCATCTCCAACATCGCCACCATCAGACTGAATGTCGTCGCCGTCGTCGTCATCATCAACATCGTCATCGTCATCGCAATCATTATCACCACCATTATCCTCATCAACATTCAAATCACCGTCATCACCATCATCACCATCACCATTATCACCATCACCACCATCACCATGATCATCATCCTCATCAGCATCAATATCACCATCACCACCATCGCCATCATCATCATCATCACCACCATCATCATCGTCATCGTCCCCATAATCCTCATAACACTCATCATCCTCATCACGGCTCTCTCAAGCCTGGAGGCACGAGATGTCGCACGTGACTTCCTCCCGTGCTCCCTCGAACAGTCGCCACCCAACATGCTGGGCTTGCGGCAGGCAGCTGGATAGCCACCTCTCAGGTTCAACGCGAGGGCGCCGAATGGACCCACCCTCCATTCGGGTTGATGGCCTTCAGCGCTGACCCAAGCGGGCCCAAAAGCTCACCAAAGAGGCGCAGCATAGCCTCAATGTGACTCCAAAAGCCCTGAAAAGGGAAACCGAGATGGCAATGTTTAGGGACGAATACTTCACTTCCCTTCTCAAACCAACTGACCTGGGAAAACAACTAATCCGAAGGTGGGCAGCCGGATAGCGTCACAAAATGACCGGGCCCTCTCATCCTGATGATACACAAAAATTCCCACCGGGAGCTGCTGCGAGGGTGCTCTAGAGGAAGATGAGGCGGCATACAAACAAACTGGATTTCTTGGATTCTGCGCCAGGGGCGGAGGCACCGCCAGGGGGCCCCAGCGCAGATCCAAGAGATCCGCGCGGACCGCCGACAATTCATGTTAGCGCAGGTGTTTCGTCTTCGATGTCCGCGATATGTGCTTTGCGTGTCTCGTCTTCGCAACACTGATGTATGCTGTTGCGAGGCGGGGATTTATCCATCTCCACCGCCTGGGAACCGACGTTCTGGTGCCCCAGCGGGCGGTGGATATGGATATATTTCGGCCCCCGTGGGCCCGAATATGTCCATATCCACCGCCTGCCGAGGCTCCGAAAACTGACCCTCCAGGCGGTGGTCATGTATAAATTCTCGCCTCGGAGTTGTGTCCGATCTGTATACCCTTGCGTTGCAGAGTACGTGTCCCTGCTAGACGTGGTAGTAATGCGTGCCTGCCTGCGCCTGAAGTGTTCCAAACACACGTACATGCACGTGCATCAAATTATACCGGCATGTCACAGCCGGTCGCATGATGAAGACATATCTTGAAACAAGCCTGGGCCAATTTCTCTTGTTAACGATGGAGGGCGACCGTGCACAAGAGCCCGGGCAATCATTCCAGCAAGTTGGCTAAGAAACGCTGGTCCAGCTTTTCGGGAGGAGGTTTCTCAATCGGATGCTCGGCTGTATGTTACGTACAGGTGCAGTTCGCGTCTAGCTTTATGGGGTTATGTATGTAAAGTATCTACGCGCGCAATTTGCGAAGCTGTTGGTGTGTCCATGTTGCTGTTGTGTGTGTGTGTCTGCTAGCCGTAGCGGCAACGCAACATCAACCACCATGCCGCCAAGCACTGAGTGGAGTGTGCTCAGGTCCCACCGGGTTCTCCGTACTGAATGTTCCCAATGCATGTGAATAAAGGGGCTCATGCGTGGCGATCCGAGGAGGAGGAGGAGGAGAAGGATGAGAAAAAGGAGGAGGGGGAGGAGGAAGAGGAGATGGAGGAGGAGGAGGAGGAGGAGGAGGAGGAGGAGGGAGGAGGAGACAGAGCAGGAGGAGGAGGCGGAGCAGGAGGAGGAGGAGGAGGAGGAGGAGGAGGAGGAGGAGGAGGAGGAGGAGGAGGACGGGTCGCCTAAGCCCTTCGGAGAAACCCTCCAGGCTCATGGGCCCCAGGGACGGGCTGCATCGCATGGCCTCCCAGGCGTGTCGCATGACTTTTTTTCGCTGTCAGAGAGCCCCACGATGGACGGCCCAAGCGAGTCCCAAGCGGCCTCAAGACGGCTCCCGAGACGCCCCAAGAGGGCCCCAGGGGAGGACCCCCGAGAGGGCCCCACGAAGCATGTGTATCCGAAGGCCTTTCCATCAGATCTGAAGGTTTTTTCGCCGTTTCGGGCTTGCGACGCTGCATGCCCCAGACTGCCCAACTGACGCCCGAAGAAGGTGCCAAGACCGCCCAAGAGGCCCCAACATGGCCCAAATCGGGTCCCGATCCGGCCAAAGTGGCCCCCGACAACGCCTCCAGGGGGGCCCAAGAGGGGGAAGCGGATGGGGCATTGGGTTATGGGGTCCCGAAGCTGTGTGGTGACAGACCGCGCGTTGACCGCGGAATCCTGAGAGACCTCACCGCACGGTCCGTCACCGCACGGTCATGGGACCCTTGAGGCTTCGGTCGGCCAGGACGTCCTCGGAGAACGACCCGCGTCTCAAAGCCGTGCGGTGACCCCGAATCCCCACGGCTCACTACACGGTGTGGTCACCACACTGTTTGGGGACCCCGATTGGGAGCCTTTCCCCCAAACGTTAATTACCCCCAAGACACCCAGCATGCCGCCGCATGCCCCCAAGAGACCCTGAGAAGAACCCTCAGAGCCTCATGAGGCATCTGAAACGCCCCCTTCCCCCCTCCTCTTCCCTCCCCCCTCGGCGACAGGCCTCGAGGCGAGCCCGTTCCCAGAAGGAGAAAAACATTGTATAGACACGAACTTTCGGAGATCCGCATGGATTTCCTGGATCGGCGTTGGATCCCCCTCCCTGGCGCGCGTCTGGCGCCGCCAGGAGGCTCCAGCATCGATCCAAGAAGTCTACTCGGAGCTAGGATAGAAGCTGCTCATGCCCTTGTTCGTTGCTCGACGAGGCCCGAGGCGAGCTCTCTTCCCTTTCTCCCCCCCTGCCCATGACCAGGCTCGAGCCTACCCCTATCCCCAATATTGAGAAGCCCAGAGGCGATGACGATACCATCTCAGAAACTGAAGGAATCCTTCAGATCGGCAGCGAAATGAGGTGATGCCAATTGTAGATCCGGCGCCCGTGGATCCAGCCTTCTGCCGCGTCACGGAGCGGGAGGTGGTCAGGGCCGCCTCGCCGCAGCGGCGTCTCGGCGTCGAGATCGCCGCCGCCGTCGCCGTCGGGATCGTCGTGCGAGGCCGTCGTCGGCATCGAGATCGTCGTCGTCGTCGGCATCGAGATCGTCGTCGTCGTCGTCGTCGTCGTCGTCGTCGTCGTCGACGTCGAGGTCGCAGTCGTCGAGGCCGCCGCCATCGAGTGCTACGGCCGATGACTTCTGCATAGAGCGCGTCGCCACGGTGGGCCCGGGCGGCGCGCTAGGTGCCCTGCGAGGTGCCCGCGCGTCGCCCTCCGCCCCGCGGGGGGGGGGCGGGAGGCTGCGGGGAAAGCTCGCGACGCTGACGCCCAGGGTTCTGTTGTCTGGCCATCGCTCGGACGTCCATTCCCTGTGTGTTTTTTTCGGTTTCGAGCGTGGTTTTTTCGCCAATTGATCGAGGATGCTCCTCGATGGTCCTCGCCGAAAGAAAAATGCACACGTCCGAGCGATGCCAAATTGTTCCCATCCTACTGAAGGGCCGCATCCCAGAAATAGTTTCGAGCACCCGGAAAAGTGTCGAAAGAGTGTCGAAAGAGTGTCGAAACAGTGTCGGACGAGTGTCTCCCAGGGCCCGCCACGTGGAAACCATCGAATTTTGGTGTGTTTGTTTGTCTGGTGCTCGAAATTCTGTCTGGTGATCCAGGCTAAAGTAGGTTGGAACATCATAAGCCTAATTAGGGACTGGACAACGGATAGCGTGCCGCGCCGAAGCGTGGTGGGCCAGAACTGGCGGAGCGACACGCTATCTAAAATTCCCGACCGTATGTTTCAGGCCGGTGTGCCTCGACTCTCCGCCCTGCCGCCGCGGTGGCCGGTCCACAGCACTCCGGGCCGCGGGCAATCGGGAACTTGCCGCTGGCGTGCAGCATCAGCAGCTCCTGTGGGGCCAAGAGGTTCAAGCAGGACCGTCGCACGACTGGGGCAGGACCTGGCGCCAGTTGAGTACATGGGGCCAGCTGAGTCTCGGGGAACACTTTCAAGCAATCCCATCTTTTGCTCCGTAGTGGCCCTGTCCTCGAGGGGCGCACCATGGTGGTACATCAGGCCTCTGGCGCAACCACCGAGGTGTAACCGCCCCAAGGCCATTTCATTTCAAGCCTCCTCCTCCCCATCCTCCATCCCTTTCCCTCCCCTCCCTCCCAACCCGAGAAGAACCCCAATCAGTGGATGGTTCGAAAGTTTGGCAGGCACCATGCCTGGTCGCAGTTTCGCAGTGGGGCCCAAAGAGGCCCTAAGTACTGAGTCTTTGTAAATTCAAAAACTCTTGTGGTAGACTCGCCTTATCGGGCATGCTTGGGTTCGAAACGGCCAAGGAAGCCTACAATATAGACAACTTCGGAAGGCCCGTCGACGGCCACATACGGCACTGTTTCTCCTCCTAAATTTGTGATACAACGCTGTGCTGGACTGGGGTGGGCCAGCTGGTCGGTTTAATTGAGCAGGGACCGACCGTCCCGTCATTCCTATAGTCCTACCACGATTAAAGGCAGGGGGACTCTATTTTGTTAAGTCGCCGTGCTGGGCCAGGGTGGACCAGGTTGGTCGGCTAACGCCAGGGGGGCCCTATTTTGCTAAGTCGCCGTGCTGGGCTGGGGTTGGCCGGGCTGGCCAGCTTAAGCCGGGGGGACCCCAGTCTGTTGATTCGAACATCGGACCGGACTGGCCGGCGTTTGGCGTTTGGCCAGCCTCTCCTCTAAGTGTGCTCTACACTTCCTCCTTCGTCTTACCTCGTCAGCTTCCTCATTTTCCTTCCTTTTCATCCCTCCTCCTCAACCTTCTCCTCCTCCTCCTCCTCCCTCTCCTCCTCCTTTCGTGTCAAAGCGCTGTGCTGGACTGGGCTGGGCCGGCTGGTTGGTCAAACGCAAAGGGGCTCCATTTTGTCAAATCGCCGTGCTTGGCTGGGGTGGGCCAGATTGGTCGGCTAACGCCAAGGGGATCCCATTTTGTTAAGTCACCGTGCTGGGCTGGGGTGGGCCGGGCGGGCTGGCCGGCTAAAGCGGGGGCGACCTCATTTTGTTAAGTCGCCGTGCTTGGCTAGGGTGGGCGTTTCTCTACCCTTCACTGTCGATAGTGAGGTGGATATTGTATAGTGAGATCGATCACGAGATCGATCGTGAATTCGATCGTGGGATCGATAAAACAATCGAGAGAAATATATCGAACGGGAGAACAAGAACCCAGGAACCCCGCCGCCCACCGAACTCGGCCAAGAACCAGCAACCAACATACTAGGAATCAGGAGCCAGGGAACCGGGCCGCCTATCGAAATCAGCACGGAACTTTGCCACATCCTTCAACATCCGCCTGGGTCCCTCCAGCGCAAGCACTGATTGGGGAAATGCTTACCAACTTGACTGTGATCTCGGGTCGCATGTACACATGATATGTTGGAAAGTATGCATGCGCATGTGTACCTCATAATTCTCTACGTGTGCATCTATGAATGTAGCTTTGTATCCCGGAATCGGCCCGTGGTGTCCCGTGGTTGGATAATGGGATCGATAGTAGTGGAACCGATCGTGAAGTCGATTGAATGACATCGATCGTGAGATCGATCGCGGGATTGGTCGTCTATAGGGAGATCGACTGTGATATCGATAATGAGATCGTTAGTGCGATCGATAATGGCATCGATAGCGAGATCGATGATAGTGGGATCTATCGTGAGACGGGTAGTGAGGTTAATTGAGTGAGATCGATACCGCGATCGATTGTGATACCGATTGTAATTGATGATGAAATCGATCGTGAGATCGATTGCATGAATTGGAGAACGAAATTGATCGTGAGACCGATCGTACATTCGATCGTGGCATCGATCTAGCGATCGATAGGGAGATCGACCGGTAATCGGGGAACCCGGGAGCCCCGCCGCCCACCGAAATCGACCAAGAACCAGCAAGCACAGAAAACCCGGGAACCCAGAACCGGGAGCCGGGAACCCAGCCGTCCACCGAAATCGGCCTGGAACTTTCGACAAACATGTCAACATCCGCTAGAAGCCCTTCAATACAAGATCTGATCGGGGAATCATTAATTTTGATCCCCCCCCATCCAGTGCCTGCTCTGTTTTTTCAATTGGAATGCCCCTCCTGGGCTCGCACCCTGGTTTGGCAAGGGGAATCTTGGGGCTCAGACTGCGCCCCTGGCCCCCGAACTACAACAACAACAACAACAACAACAATCATTTTACCCGAACGCGTGGTGTTCTCCCCAGTGCCAGGGTTTTCATACGACACCAGGCAATACCCCCACTTCGTGGGGGGGCATTACAAGCTCTACCAAATATCCAAACGACTCTTCGCGACCACCCAAACCCAGCTTCCCGCCCTATGACGTTGGGACACTTCACTTCGTGGCGTGCGGACGACCGTGGCTACTACACTGGCGTGGGGTACACACCCACAGAACTTGGTCACTTATTCGGGGCGCGCATGTGCCCAGCATGGTGCAATTGTGCCATACAATACATAATACAGAGAGACAGAGAGAGAGACAGAGAGCAGACAGAGAGAGAGACAGAGAGAGCGGCGTGCGCGCGCAAAAAACGAATGTGTCCCGCATGGTATTATTTGACAGGGATGATGGCCCTGGCAGGTGCGCAACCGTTGTCGCAGAAGTTCGAAAAAGTTGCTCGCAAAAGCCCGTTTGACAGAAATGTTTAAAAAGTGTTGGGTTTCCTACGAATCCGCAAGAGCGCGCGGGATGAGATTTTGACATTTTTTTGTTGAAAAACCATTGGTTTTTTGATGTTTTTATGTTAAAATCGCTCCGAACACTAAGCTTTTGGAAGGATTTCGTCTTGCGCGCGCGAATGTCCACTTTACCTTATTTTTTGCAAGGGATTCTTGAAATTTGATTATATTAGAACAAGAAATGTCATTTTATAGTGTTTTTTGCAAGGGAAAACGGATTACAACAAAACAACCGGATCTGGACCCCATCCACTTTTCTGAAGCTTTCGCGAAAAAATGATGAAAATGTAGCTGCGGCCTAGGCGCGGCGGGGGGGCCGTGCACCAGGGGCCCCAACAATAATTATTCTTTAGAATTAATAATGTTCAACAACAACAACAACAACCGCTCCCACCTGAGATCCCCTTCACACTTTGTTCAACAATCGCGCTCTCGCGCGGGACTTCCTCACAATCTATACAGGAATCTCGCTCTCGCGTGGCAGGGGGTTCCCCCTTGCAATTTATTGAAACGCCGCGCCTTCGGCACTCAAGAATTACGCTCGCGCTCTGGACTGCCTCGCGATTTTCTTGGGAAACACGCTATCGCTGAGGACTTCCTCGCGACCCATGCGCGGCTGACGCTTCAGCGACCCGCCCGCTCGACCCAGTCGCCTGGGCCCACGCGCCCGACCCGCTTGTTAGGGTCCGCCCGCCCGACACACGTGTCCGGTTCGGCCACTTAGCACTCATGATCCTAAACCCCCCTCCTGCTAGTCCTCTTCGTGTTCCATCCTTGTCCCCCCTTGTCTCGTCCCCCCTCTCCCATTCCCCTGTTTTAGAGGCTGCGCCATATACGCGTGGCAAGTGAGGAAGAAAGTCTACCCCAAAGGGGGTCACGATCGAATACGAAAAAAGGCGGATATCGAATAATCTACAAGTTGAATGACACGCGACCGTATGACAACGAACAAGGTTAAACTGATTGTTGTTGCCGTTGTCGTCGTCGTCGTCGTGCCCCCTGCTGTCTGGCATCCAGTTCCCCTTTGCCCTCCCGCATCCAGGCCCCGCTTCTCCCCATTCCCGTCCTCCACCTCCGTCTTGCCCCCTGGCCCAACCCTTTTTTGCTGGTCCCTTTCCTGCGCCGCCCCATCACCCTCCAAATGCCTGCTGTCCCTTTCCCGCACCGCCTTGCGCGCTCAGATGAGGACCGAAGCAAGCGCAAAACGCAGCGACGGTGGGACTCTGCGATAGCACCTCCCAAACGCATGTGGGATCAAGACTCATTCTCGTCTTCGCGAACGCAGAAGCTCTCTGACCTTCTCCTCCTCGCCCTCCTCCGTGCCGCCTTGGCGGGAGCGCCCTGCCCGCCCCCGCCCCCTTGCTCTGCCTCCTCCGCGTCCTCCTGCCTTTTCCCCCCCATCCGCCTACTCCCCGCCCCTCTGCCAAGGGCACGCACGTTGCTGCTCCTTGGCGCCGCTGCCGCCACGGCCCGCACGGGCGCGTTCTCCGATGGCCAGATCGCGAAGCCGCGGGGGCAGCCCCATGGGCCAGGCCGTTGAGACAACCCCGCGGGCCACTGGGGCGCGGGAGCCTGCCGTTGGGACAACTCCGCAGCGCGAAGCCCAGCTCCGCCGCGAGTTGCTCCGCCTCAGCCGTGGAACGCCCTGCTCTCGTGTCATATTCCCTCAGCGCCTCCCGCATGGAAGCGGGCATTCCAAAAACTCTCGCGTGGGCGGCCGCAGGATCAGCATGTTCGGCACGCGCTTCATCGCCATTCAGTCATAGACGAGGCTCCCGCTCCAGACCCCCGCCAAATACAAGCTCCAAAAAGACCGAACTGACGAAAATTACGAGGTTCAGATGGCCCGGTCGGATTTGTAGCATGAGTTGCGGGCCCCCTCCTGCCTGAGACGTCCTCGCCATTCAAATTGAATGGCCAGCACGCCAGCAACGTTCTCAGTATTCAAGCTTCAGCTGCAAGGCTACAGTGTGACGACAAGGCTTCAGCTACAATGCTACATTACTCAGGCGTCAGTTGCAAGGCTGCAGCACTAAAGGGCAACAGCGACGACAATTACGGGATTCCAGTGGCCCGCTTGGAATAATAGCATGGTCTGCGGGCCCTACAGGGGGGGTCTCCCGCTCGAAACTTCCTCGCAGCTCACTCACAGACGGGGCTCCCGCTCAAGATTCCTCCAGGTT